GTTTTTTTTTCATGTTGTTAGTGTGTTTTCCCATCTAGAAGTATGGATCTAAGCCAGCATAAATTCTACCCTGTAGACCTATAGTGTCCCTGAAGGTTTCTAGCACCTCACCTTTAATGGTAAGACCAATATCAATAGCACCCAGTGTAAATAATACATATCCTTAAGACTAATAGCTCCCACTAAGACATCTACTGCTTTCTTGCATTAAGCCAAAATAGTGAGTTCAATATCTAGCTATAGTACAAAGAGAAAATTTGTTAAAATGGTTTACAATTTCAAATGGTGGATGAGAGAACAGTGGTAGGGTAGCACACAAAATTCTTTTGGGAGGAAGAGAGAAGCTAGATGTAAAAATTCATGGGAAGAGTGGAAGAGGAGCCAACAGAGATTTGCTATTGGTTGGAGAAAAGTTTGAAAGAAAATCCAAGAAAATAGACAAGAGAGAGGAAGTACACAAAGAGAAAAAAAATCAATAAAAGTACAAAACACCATTCATATATTATTGTCTTCCACATACTGATGCATAAAAAACATCCTGTTCCAAATATGGTACAGAGATTAGTGAATATAAAAATAAAATAAAATAAAATAAATCTTCCTGGAAAGTTGAACTGTTTCTGTTAGTGTTCAACAGTTTCTTAGCCCTGTTTCTGATGTCTCTTGGGATCACCAAACCCAGATCAGCCCTCATAAACCCAGTCTCTATCCCACCCATCTGGGCTTCAGATACCTCAGGATAGGCCACGCTGCAGTCCCAAGATCTCAATGCTGCTCCTACTTGCAGAGAGAGACCACCAGGAATACATTCATGCAAAGGAGCAACCCAGAGATGCAGCAGCAAGACAAGGGCCACCAGCCCTCTCAACAGGAAGACTCCAGGCTCCTCCAAACCTGCAGGCACCTCCACACTGGACCTGCAGGTCCCAGCTAGAGTCCCAGATAAAGGCTTTGTGGTGCTAAACCTGCTGGCACCCAGGCCCCAGGCTCTGGTTGGTGTCCCCAGATGGGTGCAACCATGTGCAACCAAACTTGGAATCTCCCCCAGAGAAGTCTTTTAGGCTGTAGTAGTAGCAGTAGTGGTGGTGGTTTTTGGCAGCAGGCAGTGGTGGCTACAGCACTAGCAGCTACAACTATAGCTGTGGGGGCGGCTTCATCAAGAGGTCTCTGGGGTTTCAGCAACAGTGTCAGCTTCAGTTGCATAAGGGGCAATGATTTCTTCTGTGCAAGCAGCACCCAGAAAGAGACTTCCAGGTGTCTTCAGGCTGGCAGCAGTGGAATCAGAGGCAGCAGCAAAGGTGGCAGTGGTGCAGGTGGCAGTTGATTGACAGGAGACTTCCAGTTCCACGGAGATAGCATCAGAAGCAGTGTCTGTAGTAACCAAGGCTGTGCCCAGAGAAGAGACCTCCGGACTGGGCAGGGGTGTCTAGGGCAGCCAATATTTAATTTTTAGATCATGAACTTTTAGAGGGAAAAATATTACCTTTTCTACTTGTTTATTTAAGGATAGTAATTTTATTAAACATTGTAACTTATAATGTACTTTTAATTTATATATCTCTTTATTATTTATATCAGCTCTTTCTAGTGGTCAGCGTTATATTGCCTGAATTCAAAACCCAACTATGACTTTTACTTCATTACTTGCTGTACAGTTTTGAGCAAGTTATTTATTTGTCTATGCCTTGTGTGTAAATTGGGAATAGCAACAGAGATTTCTGTAATCTGTAACCCACTAATGCCTAAGAATGGGGCTGAATACTTTTTAACCACAGAATTATCTTTTTAGCAACAGACTTATCAAAATAATTAAGGATTAAATAGCCTAGTACAGTAGTGTTTAGGACAGTATATAACAGAAATTCTCAGAAAATGTTGTTTTTGTACTAAATTTAATGTTGATAGTAACTGCAAAATGATTAAAACTAATTGTGTTTAATATAAGTATAAAACTTTCATACTTCAATTAATCTGATTCTCACTTTGAGGAAACATAAGTGACAAAGGAAGGTCATCCAGTGAGTGACAAAACTAAAAGCAACCCAAATCTTCTGACTCCACATGTATAGTCATTGTGTAGTAAATACTATGCCTTTGACAACAGAAGGTTTAGTAAATGTTTTGGGGTGCAGTTAGTTGAAAGAATCAATTTAATTGAGGACTCTCCCTTGGAATTCTGAATACAATTAAAGTAGATAAAATAAGATGATAGTCTGTGGTTCTAATTTGCTCATGTTTATACTTTGATATCAAGGCAAGTTTTCAATATATGTATACTTAGCTGGACCTAACTGTTCTGGTCCTGCAGAGTGCAATAAATAAATAATGAGAAGAGAAAAAATAACCTAAAGTAAATTGGTGTGGTTTTGAAGGGTTATGTTATCTTGGATCACTGTCTGATCAACCCTAGAATCATGCAGTTAAAGAAGGTTACTCCTGAAAGAACCTTAGAGGTTATATAATTCAATATCGTCTTCATTTTGCAAATGAGACCCTGAGAAGGTGAATAACTTACTTATTATCACATAGTAAACCTGTTGAATTGGAACTCAGGTTTTCTGCTTTCCAGACTTGTTCTCTATCTATTGTTGTCCAATTGATGCTCATAACAACATAAACTTCTATTAAAGTTGTCTTAATTTTTTTTTTTAACCAGGTAACCTTGGCAGGGTGGAGCAGGTCTCTGAGTTCGAGTATGATCTATTCATTAGGCCAGATACCTGTAATCCGCGCTTCCGAGTCTGGTTCAACTTTACTGTTGAAAATGTGAAAGAATCACAGGTGAGAGAAGTGGTGGAAAATTTCAATGTGTTTTTGGTAAGAAGAATATACTTTTGTTTGTTTTAGGAATATCAAAATACTAAGTCAATATTAGACTATGTTCTTGGATATCTTTAGCAATGATAGTGCCCCCCCACCCCAGGAGATAAAGAGAAATAGGGAAGGTATGCTGACTTTTGTTATCTGATGTTTTTTAAAATAATACAAATATTTTAAGTGTTATTATTGATTGAACAATTAACATATACTAGGATTCCTTAAGGGACACTATAAAGAAACATGTGAAGTGACTTGCTATTATTTTTATAGACAATGTTATTGTTTATTATTTCTTCTTTGTAAACACCTATGAAAGGCATTTCTCATAGGCCTTAGTTTCAGAAAAAGCTGTTCTTTTCCTGTACAACAGCAAGTTTATATTTTTTAGACAATATGATTCTTGTAACTGATGCCATTTTCCTTTTGCTTTGATTTCTGGGAAACTCAGAACATATTTTATAGCCCCTCTCTTAGTGATAATGGAAAATATTTTTGTTGTGTTTCTGTGTACTAATTTTTTAAAAATTCTGAATGTATTAATCTGCCAGTAACCCTGATTTCTTCAGCTTGTTTATAGTGGTGCATGTTTTTATAACCCATTTCAAATCTTGTTTTACATGAGAATATAAATGAAAATGGAGAGATAAACACATGTGATTTGAATAAAAAATTAGTAAAAATCTAATGCTAAGGAGCTGGGGTTGTACCTCAGTGGTGGAGCACTTGCCTAGCACATGTGAGGCACTGGGTTCGATCATCAGCACCAATAAAAATAAATAAATGAAATAAAGTTATTGTCTCCATCTACAACTAATTTTTTTTGAAAAATGTAATCCTAAGAATCAGTTCTCATTCTGTTATATTGAGATAATCAATCATGAAAAATACAAACATTGCACATATAGTGATTTTATGTTTCTTTTAAGTAGATGAAATCATAGATTTATAAACCAACATTTACCTTCTTATGTCAGGTTGTCTTTGTAGGGTGTTTGGGAGAAATTCATGAGTTTGTTTAATTTCCTCTCATGTAAATCCATCCTGCTCGCCATTCACCTGGTTGGCTGCTTCTCTCCATTTCTCTCAGCTGTAACTTGAATTGGGTATCAGGCATTGTCAGTTCAGAATTTATAAACTCCGAGTCTTCCTGGACACAATTCTGTTATTGGCATACTGGCTTCAGCAAAAGATGGGTATAGCCATTTCAATGTACTACTAATTATTGTAATTCTCTACAACACCACTGCCACAGAAATGGAGAATATGCAATGTTACTGAAGTTTAGGGGCTAATTGGAAGGAATCAAACATCAGAGAGATCCTTGTATATTGTTTGCCATGTATGACTTATGAAAGAATTTTAGGATCAATGGTAGAAATAAAGAGTTAAATTCTATATAGAGACCCCCCTCAAGGACAAATTTAGTTCCTAGGTGGGCTTCTTAGTTTTACTTAGTCTCCAATGACAAAGTTTCTTTTTCTATTTTTCACAAATCATATTTCTTGTCTCTCCTGACCTTAAGAAAACTCACATTTTACCTATATGAGTTTGTTTGACCCTAGGATGTCCTTAAGTTTCAACAAAATAATCAATAATCTTCAAAGTGTATTTCTGAAAGTCCGTGCTGCTGTGTTTAGACTATAACTTATAATAGGAGGTGTTAGCCACATGTATTAGATTGAGTCTTCACATTTCAAAATTGGGCCTTATAAAAACTTCTTGTTATCATGAGGTAAAAATGTGCTTTCTCAATCTACCATTGGTGTTCCTGCTTAATGTCAGTAACTTATAGTTGTAAGATACACACATCTCTGAAAATAAAAACAGAACTCTGGAGTATAGTTAATTCATGTGAATGAAGGACAACATTTTATTAGAGTCAGTATAATCTGACAAGATTTCTAAATTTGTAAAAGAGATTTCTGTTTTCTTCTTTTTTTGCACAGCCTATGTACATTGTTCAGCTGGCCTACTGCATCCAGGGAACCCACTAATGCCTAAGAATGGGGCTGATTACATTTTAACAACAGAATTATCTAGCATCATTATGCCCTTTACTAAATAGAAACTTAGCTGAAGCTCTGAAATTATACTATTTCTTTAACTTTGAGTCACATTCATTACTGGTCTAGTTTTTCTTTCACTGTAATCTCTATAAAGATTGATTTTCTACAGCTTATTCTTGTAAGGAGGGGAGTAGAGGATGCAGTGATTAGGGAGTTGGGAGAAATGTGTTCCTTTAGTTATAACACCTGATATAGTTTTTTAGACAAATTACTCATGCATTTAAAATTTTCTTATTTACTCTTATTATGTGCTTATAGGGATATTATTTTTATTGTTTATAATGTCATAGTCATAGTGTTGTAACTTGCACATTACCTGTTAAAAGTATACAGCCTTTATGGTGATCTTGCCTATCAATTAAATAGCAAGAGACATGAATGTGTTCCAAGGGTTATTCTAATAAGGGAGTTGAGTATGTTTTCTGGATGCATATTTTTAACGTTTTTGGAAGTAATATCTTCTCTGTTTTTTCGGGTTCTATGTACATACTCAGTGCTATCCTGCCGTGTTACCATTAGAAATCATAAACATGTTCATCTGGTTTCCAGGATCCTGATGCTTTATCAGACTCTTTCTATGGGCCACTGCTTCATTAACTGTAATAATATTATATAGTTATGAAAATCTGTCTCAAGAAGGCATAAGATCTACTGAATAGATACAATATATATGCCTAGCTCACAGGATATTTGTTTTCATGGTGTCTACATAAAAGAGAATGGTTTTACTATTAACTTTGACTTGTGAAGTCTGGTTTTATAATGTCCCTTCCTATAATCTTTTTCATCTCTCTTCAATTTCCTTTAAAGTGAGAGCTGCATGAATGTAATCTAGTCAAGAACATTATTTAGGGCATGGTAGTGGCAGAGAAAAAAATATT